AAAAGGATCCTCTTTACACAAATATGAGGAATCCCAAACCCAAAAAGTACAAAGGATCACTAACATTGATCCAGATACCACCAGCATGGGCCGGGGCCGGCATGGATGCCACAAGCGCGGCGCCCGCAGCAAGCTGCTGGGCCTTCTGCGGCACTGTCCTCTGCAAGCCGGGCATCAGGAAGGCCGGGCTGCATGCAGCCACCACCAAAGCCAGGACCACGAGTAAAGGGGAGCGGCGTGCCATGGCTGCCAAGGTCCAAGAGTGGGGCCTTTGAGGACACGGGCCGAGCCGACGTTGCTGCCTGTGTTACCTCTTCATCCAAGTGGCCAAGCAAACAGCATGCAATTGACGTGACCGCCACCTATTGCCACTGCAGATGGGGTTATATGGGGATAATGGGAAAGAAAATGGAAACTACTATATAGTACATATATATAAGGGGTTATGGAGGGATAATGGAAAAGAGAATGGAAACTACTATTGTCCAGCATGATTTGGCACCTCTGTTACAACGACGATCACCACATCACGCGGCTGGCTGAGGGGCACACACTCCGACACGAAGCCCAAAGAGCGCAGATCTAGGAGTCTGCCTGCACTGGGCCGGGATTTCGAATAGGTATCGGTATGTAGAAATATAAGGCGTATTACAATATACTGGTACTTACCCCAGTATACAAGGGAGAATCAGATGCAAAAGGACGTGGCAAGGAAACGGACACTGGGCTTTTAGAGGCAAGTCGCGTGTGTTGCAGCTTGAAAACCATGCTCATGTGGCTGTCACGTTGGATGGGCAGACCTTTCATCGGACAGTCTTTCAACTCAGGGGGTACATCTCTGAACGCTGGGCAAAGTGATAACACAAAAGCCTAAGGAAAAACAAGCTGCCTGCAAAGGGGATGTATGGAAAGGCAGAGCATGGAAGAACGCCCGGCATCGGAACACTGCATATTTCACCCCAATTTAGGGAAAGAGGGCATATAGGACTAAATACTGGTAATTACCCCAAGATATCATGGCAATGAATCAGAATAAGGAACTAACAACCAAATGAAATGGACAGTGTGTACTAGGCTGGCCCAACTGACTATGTCCTCTATCTGGGTTTGCAAAACTCTGATTTTAAAGCCTTC